CGAAAACAAACAACCCCACACGCCTGGCTACTCCTGGGAGGCTGAGGCTAGGCTGGCTCTGTCCAGACTTAACACCACCACAATGCCCAAAGGCAAGAACATGGCACAGGTTCTCACTTTTTTCTTACAGTATAGATTGTCATAGTTATTGCACGAATGGAAGATGCTCTCCAAAGTCTTGTAATAGTGATTCCATGTTATTCACATTCTGTATGTTATTCTGCACAGTGTGCTAGAGTAATCTTGCAAGGCAGCTAGACTGCAAAATCATTACATTATGGGAGAATTCATCTTACCAGGCTGCATTTGAGGCCAAATTTCAGTGGTAATGAACCAATTGGTCTTTTGGTGAAGTATTGGCTGCTACGAGGGTGCGTGTAAGGTTAAACGCAGCAAGAAGCGACTGTTAAACCACAATGCTGCCTACTAAAGAGGTTAGCGTAGATGCCGCTATAGCAGGAAAATATAGCCAAGAGATGGCACTGCAGGCTTTTCTCTATGGACAATATGTTTTCGCTCTTATTCTGACTGAGTTTGGTAAGAATTTGATTACATTTTATGGTTCATTTATCCAATTGGTTAAAGATAGACGTGATAGACAGATGATTCATCCAAACAAAAGACAAATGTCATTAAATGTCTTCTTTTGAATGACCAACCGTCAAAACGAGAGAAAAGAGAATCTTTCTGTAATGTAAGATAGGGCAAAGCAGCAAATTCCAAATTTGACATTTTTCCTTGATTTCTGATTTCTGATTTTGATTGTTATGAAATGTTTAAGTCATTGTAAAATAAGGAAGTGTAACTATGAAGTGAACACTGCCACGGTTATAAGACTAACTTGCAGTTTTGCCACTGAACCAGATCTCTGACTTCTATGCAGCAAACAACAGTTGCTGCCATGGCAACATAATCAAACAATGACAGCCAGTCTTAAGCAGCTGCAGTCTGTTGCAGTTTATAGACTTTAATTGTATAATTTAAGTCTGATATAGATGGTATTTTTCTAATCAATGAGGGTCTCAAAGTGGATTATTAAGAAGTAATATGGTATATCTGAAATTCACAGTTTATTAATGGCAAATACCAATAAATATTATGTCAAACACAATGAACATTACAAAAATTAGTACTATGTTGCATGCCATGTCTGCTCTAGACAGACAGACAGACAGCACACTAAACAGACAGACAACTGTGTATAGATAGCTATCTTTATAGATGGAAGTTTGAATGAATGCAAAGACAGATGGACAGATAAGCAGACTGACTAACTGACTGACTGATCAGCTCGTTTATCTATCATAGCTTACCAAGAAATTCCAGTCAGTGTTGATGCGGTCAGCCAGGCCAGTGATGAGGAACGTGAGGTAGGCGGAGGAGAGGAAGAAGGTGGTGACTGAGACAAACATCACCCAACCCTGCAGCAGAGGCACGGGCACATTGGAGGAAGCCACCAGGATCCATACTAGAGCGCCAAATAACTGAGGATATAAACAAACACTAGTTGCAGTTTATTTTATTCTAAATGCTAAACTTTTGCTCAGCTCCTTAATCTTCTAGGCTGCTCTGGTCCATTTAGTCACTCATTATATTCATGCGACACTAGGAAGACATCAGGTTTAACAACTCTACATATGTATACCGGTATTGTACCTCTTCATAGATACTTTTCTAAAACCTCCTGATCTCATACCAGCGCTCTCAGTTTGCCAAATTTAAAATGTGTACACCTCACTCAGTGGAATGCATTGGGATATTTATTTTTATGTAAGGTAACCAGGAATAGCCGTGGTGCTAAAAACTGAGTAATGGGCCCACTGAATGTGTGACTGAATGGATTTCATATTGACACTGAAACTGTATTAAATGTGGATCAGTCACGTCTATTCTGATCAGTCGCATCCTTACTTGGAGGTATATTTGCACAATCTCTAAATGTTGCTTATAATATTTAAATGTTGTCTCAAAGCCACCTGTTATTTTATCCGTAGACCCTCCCTATGTATTGCACAGTGCACCTGTTAAAGCTTCTGTTATTGCGAGGCCATATTGACAAAATACACTGTTGACAGAAGTGATGACTGAGTTATCGTTTATATGGTTTATTGTGGACAAAAGGGCAAACAAAGGTAACATAATTGATTAACACACTAAAGAAGATGGTGGTATGGAAAGACTATGAAACTTTAGGTTATCTACAGTTAGTTAATAACAGGTATAACATGTACATGCTGATAACAGCCCCAACTCATTTATATGACTTCATCAGAAGGCCTATCTGGTCAGGCCTTTAGCTGCAAACAGGCCTATAGATAGCCTAAGTAGTCAAATAATCCTAAACGTTGAGGTAGGTATTTAGAGGCACAAAGAGAAAATAAAACTGGCACTTTTCTCTAATTTTAGGATTTTTATTTTATTTTAAAGGAGCTGATGCACATGATTTACATATCTGCTAAGTATTTAATCAGCCCTTGCCACATCGCTTGAGGCGACATTTGCCCTTGCTTTGGCTGTCAAATGTAAGCAATAAACTCAATCACAGAGTCACCTGTGTTAGAGACATTTAAACACTGCACACCAAAGAGCAAACAGCGTGTTACAGCCCACAGATTCAGGTCTAAGTGGACAAACAGGTCATCAATTATTAATAAAGAAATATGAACAGAGAACACCACAGTGTTCACTGATACATTTAAGAATATATACCATACAGTTGAACATCATTAATAGCCTCTAAAAAGCGACACTTACTTATTCTTAAACAGATAAGGGGCATCCAGAGTTAAGTTCTCAAATTACTTTCATCAAAGGCAGAGAAATTAGTTTGGCGCTCTTGGGGAACGAGTGGCAGCGGGATTACGTGGCTGGTTTTCCGACATCTCTTATATCTTCCCTCTCTTTCTCTTCTTGTCTCCCCTCTCTTCTTGATCTCACCCTCCGTCTCCCACTAAAAGAGGACTCCGTTAACAAATGACTGGGAGCAGCGGGAGGAAAATTTCCTCCGGAGTCATGTGTCCCAAACAGGTCGGTGGACAGGGTGCAAGGGCCACTCCCTGGAAACCTATGCTGCATTCAGGGACCTCACGGAAGCTCCTACTTCCAGTTATCCGTTGTGTAAAGCTCTGTCAGTGTGAGGGAAAAAAACGACTTTGATGCAGCAGATTGAATTGAACCCACAGACTTACTCAAGATCACAATCCAAGGGCAAATATATAATTTCTAACCCGTTTAGATCAAGCTTATATGTGCAGTATTGGCAAGATGAAGAAAATAAAATGGGGATGAGTCATATTGGCTTTCAATTTATTTATGAGTAAGAGTTGCTGAGTACAACAAAGAGGGAGGCTAAAAAATACACTACTTTCACCCATACTGAATTTGACAGCAACATGTATTTTCTTCATGACACTTTTGAGACAACACCTGTATCCATACATGGTTATTAATTGTTTTAACATGGTAATACATTTGATTTGGGAACCATACATCTGCAGTCTGCATCAGACATTGGTAATGTAGTATCAAGTGGTGTATCAGCCATCGAGAGTATCAGTTCTGGCTAATAAATCCAGGGCTGAATTTCTTTCCCAATACACCCATGAGGTAAGCATATGTCATAAAAGGCTTCAGGGTGTGTTTACAACCATGAAACACCGTAGATGGATCTCTCCTTTACTCCTCCATTTGTTGACATAGATTTTTAGGCTGTCCACACCCTAAATGTCAGTTCTTGATAACTCTACAATAATTCACATTGTAAAGGTATGCGCTCATCTTGCACTTCTTGTAATTCCAACACCAACTGAAGGCAGCAAACTTACTCTGACTTTGTCCTCTGTTGGAGCTCTTGGCTCTCTCTGTGTGAACAGCCACCAGCAGACACCTCAGCTCAGAAACATTAATGAGAGGGAAAATCAAATAGTTGGAGTCATGACTAGACCCTACTGATTTATTTAACACTGTTATGAAAGAAATGAGGACTGAGTAAGCCTTCCCAGGGGCAAAGTTGTTTGAAAGGTAAATATTAGTTTAAGGGTTAGAGTAACAGCTGAGAAGAGAGGAGAACTGATTTCCAAACTGACTCAGCAACATTTACCTTGTTTGCACTAAAACATGGAACAGACACACCAAATGTTGGAGGGGGAATCTTTTGGAAACACAGGTTTTTTAATGTTACATCGGTTGGTAGGAGCAGTTTCTAATGGTAAGCCACAGTTAATGTTTAGCTAGGACTTGGTTTATGTGAACCAATGTTGACATAACCCCTTGAAGGGCACAGGCTTTGTTCAGTTTAGTGTAGCTGGCAGTGAGAATCAATACAACCTGTATAGTGGTGGAGTACTTACATAGTCTAATCTAAGGTACTTTACTTAAGTCTTTTCTTTTTATTCCACTTTCTACTTCTACTTCATTACATCTCGGAGGGAAATGTTGTACTTAATAAACATTTATCTGACATAGTTAGCCTATTAGTTACCTTACAAATTAAGATTTCTTGCATACACAACACGTGAAAAGCTTTTTGGAAGCACTTAATATAGCCCAGTTTTACAGTGTAACTTCTTCCTAAGAATCTGTATATCTATGAATATGCATATATGTATATAGGCTACTGGTTGCGCAATATGGCCAAGACCAAGAAAGTCAGGGAAGGTCTAATTTTTTAAGTTACGTTACAACCTACATATGGAACCTTTAAAGCACGAGTAATAATGATATAATATATAATAGTATAAAAGTCACAGAGGCCATTTTTCTTCATTGAGTAATTTTATTTTTAATACTTTGGTACCCTTTTTCTGAGTACACTTACTAAAATGCAGGACTAATAACTTGTTACATAGTATTTTTCCAGTGTGGTATTAGTAGTTTTACTTAAGCATAGGATCCAAATACTTTCTCCACCACATATAATGATCATGTGATGTAAAACAATTGTTTTAGTCCAGCACTGCAGGGATCTTTTTAATGGCTGATTGTTTTCTAAGGATCAAGGAAATGGGTGAGAGAGGACAAATTTTCAGAAGCAAACACAGTATTTGACCCTGTTCTCTGTACTTGAAAAGACATATATTCCAGTGAGTCTGTGAAGGCCTCACTGTCATCTATGGAAGAGCAAGAAACCTTCTTAATCTTCTCTCTAGACTGTACTGTTTTTGTCTCTTAAGCTTTATTCAATGCAGCAAATGTCTAACTGTGAGATTTAGATATTGAAATGATAAAATATACAATCCACTTTTATAAAATTCCAATTAATTTATTTTTCAAATAGACCTGTAAACACATACAATGTCACCATGACCTTTTTAACATAAAATACACACATCAGGGGCTCCCTGATAGCTCACCTGATGTCTGACCTATGGCCCTTTGCTGCTTGTCATTCCCTCTCTCAGCCCACTTTCCTGTCAATCTTCAGC